GTTAAATTGTTAATCGAAGAAATAATTCTGTATATATTTTGTACACACTGCACATAATATTACATACAATGACGATAAACGCACCGAACAAATCGTACACATACTATACAATATGACGACCAATGAAACATTTGAAGGGACACTCATTTGTAGGACGAGTGAACAATTAGAAAAATATCGTCCAAATGAATAATTTAAATAATTATTTTCATTAACGCCAAATGAGCATATATACCATATTACCACAGCTGTCATATAGGCATTTTCTGACTGCATTATACAAATTGAAGTGACACAAATTTGTTTTCACCTGTCGGTGGTAAATGTTTTTATAGTTACCAAAATACCAGTGGTTGTGATACACTGCTACTTTTTAACATTAAATATAAACCGAAATATATACTCATCAATCATCATTAACATTTTATCACACGATCATCACGTATCATATGTTGTATTATTTTGTATTATGAAAACAGTGAACGCTTTGTTTAGGAACACAAATTAAATCATTTTGAAATTTAGAAGCTTATTTGATCACAGAACATTTTTTAACTATCATCATGTAGATAGCGATGATTTGCACTACGCTGAGGGCCAGTTGTACCGTCTACGGTTACACTTCGATTTCACTTAATCAGCCGTTAACAGATTTTAAAACCCCCAAATTTGCCTGATTAAACTTCGGTTAACTTTAATCGGAGATGGTACAACTGGCCCTAAGGGTAAATTTATATTGCGCTTCAGTATGTCGCTACTTGTAACATTGTCTGTACAGTACAGTGGCACTAAAATTCCATTATTAGGGAGCTACTCTCAACCACTTCAAAATGCCAATTAATTATTTCTTATTTATATGTATATTATCCAAGGCATACCTACTGAAATCTATTAATTATTTTTTATACAGTGGGAAAATTGGACTTTGTTTTTCAACTATTTTTGGAATGTCGTTATTTCCAAAAAAAAATATTATATTTATATAAGATAATAATATACTTTTTTCGCGGTGTGTGCTTCCACGAAATGCGCATGAGAATAATTTATTTATTCTTTTATTAATTAGTTATTTATTTCCATTATAGTACAATATCATGGCAATAGTTGGTATATTATTATGCTTTTAGCAAGGCGAGGTTCAAGACGATGTACAATAATAACATCTAGGTATCCGGCGTGCGCCGTGCGGCGATTTTACTTGGAACCCTAGAACGACAATACGATATATACTTCCATTAAATATTATATCTAAATCCATATATATCATATAATATGTGATATGAGATGTGCGGGGCCGACGACTGCGGGTACTTTGTACACATCGCACGCGGGGAATTCCAAGCACGTTTACTTATATATATACCCGGAGCAAGAGACGACGCTTTTAATTGGACTTGCCGGACACGCCTACTTTGTACACTGCCTCCGGCGGCGGCGGTATACCGCTTGGTCGCGCGCGAACGAACGATGACGGACGGACGGACGCCGCCGCCGCCGCCGCACGAAAATGCACGCACTCACTGCGCTCGTCGTATAGGTTTATATTATAGTAATATGTGTCCGAAACAAAATCCGTATACGGCTTCTCGTCCGTCGGACGCCACGCGCGATATAATATTATATTATAATGTATACGCAGGCGGCCGATCCACCATTTTACCGATCGTATTACTCTCCCTCTATGGACACTACATATTATAATAATAATATTATATAGGTGGTATGAGTATATCCCTTTTCACTCGACGCCGCGGATACAACCATTTACCCCCTAGAAAATCCGATATTTGTTTTCACTCCCGGCCGACTGATCGCAGCGCATGCGGAAATAATAATGTGGGTAATATAGGGTATAGTATACATGCATATTATATAGAAATAGACTTGAGCTGATGGCGACGATGAGTGTGCGCGCGTGTATAGATAATATTTATTATAATACATTAATATCCGATATGGGTTTACTACGGAGGTGTCGAGGTCGGGGACCCGGATACCGAGATACATGACAATATATTACCCCTAAGAACAAGGGACGCCTACCTGTAGTCTATCACGATCGACTAGTCGATCTTTGTAGAGGAATAAATTAGGTTGATCATACAATAAAAATAATTATAAAGTTCACATACACCATAATCGAAGGAAATAAACACGGAAATTTGTTTTATCTAGATAAACCGATTTTGGAACTAGAAATAATAATATTACAGAATCATTCGGTACTAACGATTTCCTGAATTTTGGAAGTAAGTTGTCGGTTCAACGTGATTATACGTGAGTTAACATTTTCTTGTATGGAACAGTTACTCGAAGAACAAACATCGGTCAAGAAAGACAAAAAATAATTTGGATTCCTATTAAAGAACAGCTTATTTATAGCTGTTTTTATACATAATGTAATAGATTTCTCAAAGTTTACAGAAGAACAATGCCAGATATCAGATCATTAAAAATAACCTGCAGCATAAAAAATGAAATTCAATCATTTTTCAGTTTTCTACGAGAATTTGAAAATTCGATATTTTTTACTTGCCAGATGATCGCCGCGCATGATTATATAATTCGAACATATTAATTTTAAAGGAATATCTCTTATATACCATAGGAACAGACTTGAGACTTATACGGTTGTTATGCACGAGTAATATATAATATAAGATCTGATATATAAGGTGGTGTTGGGCGAACAATATACATTATAATATGTATAATGTACATTATAATAACTTTACGATAAAAACGCGTGTAGGTAAATTATTATATATAGGTGTGCGTCGACAGGGGAGAAACGCGCGTGCGAAGGGAAAATAATAAAAACAAAATTCACGTGTCCGCGCGTGTGCATAAATTATACATGGGGGAGGCCCACCGTGTTTTCCCATTTACTCGTATATAACGAAGGCGGGAAATCGGAAATCGTCGTGGGCCACCCTGTACGCAATAAGTTATAAGTATACATATAAGGTGTATATGAATATAAGCTGCAACTATAGTAAATTATGTCGTGAGGCGGTGTCCATACTCCATAGGTATAAACGAGAACTATAATATATAATAATAACTCAATCCGATTTTGCATGCGATCCTGGGAGGGCTGACACCACGTGGTTATAACATGATTTTAACACGGGACGAAGTTAATACAGTAATATAGTATACATATATATATAATATATATATACGTTTGTGTGTAAAATGTACATATTATTATAGCCCCAGACCCACGAAGAACCGATAAATGTCCAATAGTCGTTTCCGCAGGATACACGTGGCGGGAGGCGGATGTATAGAAGAAATAAGGGGTGTTTGCGAATCGGAATAGTATAAAATAATATACGACAATATATTATTATATTATAACAATACATACACATTATGTCGTATCATGCCGTCGTCGTGTGTTTTCCATCGTATTTTTGCAATCGTGTTATCGCATACGGGAAACATAATATATATAGACAATGCAGAATCTGGCTGCAGCAACATGTATAAATGTATAATGTTATATTACACCGGTCAAATCGTCCACTCAGAGTTTGTCGCCCAAGACGGCGTTTTATTTATCGTACGCTCGCGCCCGCAGTATTACGTTTACTTACTTACTTACGACGCGCTGAACCGTAAAACTTGTTTCCTACAAAGTTTCTAAACCCCTTTATACACCGAGTATTTGCTATAGTATATATATATTTAAGAGGGAATACGACGGATCTGCAGAGTTTCGAATGTATACTTAAGCACTGCCGTCCGAAAATAAGGCGGGCCAAAATAGTGTTTCAAAACTTATACATATAATTGACAGGATTTATCGGCGGCGGTATATGGTGGCGCGGCAGTGCAGGCGGTCGCGTGAACACCAATACAGATGCTCCGCGAGACGGCGATGGACGTTAATTAAATTTTTTTTCGGGAAATGTGTCACTTTTGACGGCTAGTTGACCTCTTTCGTTTTACGCGTGTACCTCCGGGTATGTTCAAAATTAAAATATACTCTTATAGGAACACGGATAATATTTCAAAAAGTTATTTCAACTCGTATAATGAGGTTTGCTTGTTGCGATTTGGTCGAGATTTTCAAACAACCGAATAGGTATATCAAATAATAATACATAATTTATATTATAAAAGAAAAGGGATTTTATGTGGAAATAATGGCACATATATTTGTTTTGATTTCGTATACCAACCATACATATAAATGAACATGCTATACAATGGAACTGTGATGCGGTATTAAACGATAAAAGAAAGTCGATCAAACGTTATCCAACGAGACGGGCAGAGATAAGGAAAGCCAATGGTTTCCTCTCTCGGGAACGAGGTTTCTTTGTCTAGGGAGGTTTTCCTAGGGAAATATAAAGGTGCCGGTCCGATAACGAATAAAGCGCATTATTTTCGGGACGAGCATACGGTTTTTCCCACGCGGAGGGGTGCAAGATTGTAAAAGAAGATTACCAATAAAGTACCATATCGGAGACCACCCGGTCATATGTAAGTTTCGATAGTGGTAGAATCGAAAAATCCATTAGCCTTCCTGCCGGAGATGGCTATGACCGAGGTCACTATATACAAGACTCCGTCGTTTTAATCCGTTACACATGTTGTCAGTCTATTTTCAGAGGCATTTTTATCGGCATCCATAAAAACAAATAAGAAAATTTGAACGGGTTCGATTAACTGATTGCGTATAATATGAAACTATATAATATAAGTATATAAAGTATATAAAGTATACGTAAATATATAATTTAAAATCTGTCATTTCGTCGGGGCCAGCAATGATGCTGCAGCACCAATCCGGTCCATTTAACATCAAAACACCATATAATTCGGTCGTAGATTTTTATGATATAGATTTTATCTAGTGGAAAAATGCACCAGTAAGATTTATAACAACATGTAAAACTGTTTTCTTCAACACCCCCTCTCCCACATTCACAAATAAACAATACCAGCAAATAGTGTATATATACTATAATATAAGATTATTGACTCACCCCTGCTGCGTTGGCGTCCGGTCCGTAAGGGTACGTAGTCCACCGTAGACTAGGCTCTGTCGTGGTGTCCAAAAGTACAACTGAAACAAACAAACAAAACGTATATTATATTATATTATATTACTATACAGACGATTCGGACACTTGACTACGACTTGCAAAACGTATAATATAACAATTTGTATAATTTATTTATACAATGAAAAAAATGTATAACTATTATTGGAGATAAAAACCATAGAACGCCCAACGTTCTATATAACTTTTTAAGTACATTAGGTGTACCTATACTAGTATAGTGTATTTATTTTCACTCCTATAATATTATAATATTATAATAATATATTACAATACCTCCTTGTAGCGGTATTATGAATTAATGCATAATAATAACAACAACAATAATAATTAATAATATATAATTGACGTTTTCTATTGTAATTATTAATTTTCTATTATTTACAGTTGCTCAGCACTGCAGCAGTTAAATAAGTTTTGGGTTTATTTCACGCGATTTTATCGCACTACAGCCAATACGATTTATTAAACTAATTAAATCGCGATTTTGCCATAAAACTCTGTCCCCCGAAGTTAGCTATAGGTAGGTACACCGCTTTGTCTTATGTATATACATTTATGTACCCATTCGTCGTAAATTCATGTAATACTTTATATAGATTGGACGACTATATGGGTCGGTCGGGAAACTGAACTATATACATCCTACACCTATACTGTACATAGTTAAACTATATATATATATAAAATAAGGAACACAGTGAATTTGTCCCGTGAAAACCGTACACGACGAAGTAACATGAACGAAAAGGCCCGCGGGGGTTGTTGGGGAGAGGTTGATGGTGCGTAGGTATGTATATAATATAACTAAGGGACTGCGAACATAAATTTTGCCGGCGTGGTATATAAACGACTGTACGAGAGTTTCTCATTTGTTCAATTGGCCTCCGTCCGCCCTTTTGCGTGTTAATACCCACATCCCCCCTCACGCGCCACGGAAAACCCGTCCTCTACCCCCCCGTAAACTCCCTTTACCAATCAACCCGTCACACTGCAGCATAGTGTCCGTCGTAAACGCATACCATACCTATACATGTATATATTGTATATATTGGATATACGAAAAAGGGACACGTAATCTGTTTACTCCCTCTCGCCCGGTTCCATTTATATTAATTAAATTCCCACGGACCAAAACCAATATATATATATACACTGCGACCACGCTACAGCAGTGTACATATTATATTCTTTTTCTAGGGAAAATCGACTTTTAATACCCTTATCATTTGGGTGAGGTGTAGCAGGGGTCGAGGAATTGCGATCGGGTGGTGTCGAGGGGTTGCCCGCCTACACGCGCCTTAATGAAGTTGTACACTCCGGTGGTGGCGGCGGTGGTGGTGGCACACTGTAATTAGCCGGCGCTTATACCCCTCCTCCAACCGCCCAAACACAAATCCGGCTACTTAACAGGCGTCACACACGCGAAATGGACATTAAAAATATTAGGTAGGTACCGGGAAAATAAAATAAATAACGATTTATTATAACATACATATACATAAATATCATGTGCTCTCACGAGGAGGGTTGGAAAAACTACTACGAGACATGTGAAACGACTCTATAATGATATTATCGTCGTGGCGATCGGATTTTTTAGGTGTATGCGCTTGCATAGAGAAGACTTACGGTGCCCTTATATAGTTGTAATTTGTATATATATATATATATACATAAAGCAGTAAGAGGGATTTTCAAGTATATACCTCTATGCACATAAACCTAGCCACCTAGGTACATAGTATATACTGCATGATAGAAAGGGGGACGCCCTTCACGCACTACCATGTGATTATATTGTTTCCGGCCATTTTTGTTCGCGCACTCTTGATTGGTTGCTAAATACAAAAAAACGCACACACACGACATCGTTTTCGTATTATGCACACGCTAATTTTGCCGAGTGCTTTTATATGGTAACTCGCCACCACCCTCTATTAAGCATAAAAGACAAATAGGAACGAACTTTTTTATTTAAATTTTTTCTTCTTTTGTTTTCTAGGGTGCAAAAATAAATCAAAATGTTTTTCTTTCACGGTTGTCGAATACTAGCTTCGCTTTTTAGATGAGTAACCTACCTACCTATTCCAGAACGCGACGTATGTAATGCGTATAGTTAATATCTATACCTATCTACTGGTAATAGCGATAAGAACACCGATAAGCCATCAAATGCAAAAAAAATACACAACTCTAACATCGGATTGTTTTTATTTATAGAAGGAATTTTGATGTACGCGTTAGTGTAATGATTTTTTAATCATCAAATTCTTAAATAACCGGATTATGTATATACTATAAAGTATGTAATATTCACATAATATATATGTGTAAAAAGTACGAATACACATTAGCGCCTTAATGAAATTCATGTAACCCAAAATTATATTAGGGTTTTGTGAATATTTTAATTTTGCATTTCTTATTTTTATACCATCGACAACGGCCGTAATTTGTATTGCACACACACTATTATAAACAGGATTAATCATTATTATTATGGATAAACGACGTGATACACGGCCGAAGGCGATTTGTAATATTTTTTTACAATATAGATTAAATATATAATATATATAGTCTTGTAACGTATAACGTCTTTTATTAAAATTATTTTCTATAGTTGAAAATAACACAATTTAATAAATAATAAAACTATCGCAAACGCGTTAAAACTATTAATAGTAATAATAATGTGTATTCAAAAATTATAATAATAATGTAAAAATATAAAGAACACGATGAATTAGTGACTGGTCCAACGAGATTAATGTACGGCCGTTCAAGAACTCAACGATGGGGTTTCACATATACGTATATACCTACATTTTAATACATAATAATCTCCCTAGTATTAAGCGTTTTGTCTAATGCTATATCCAATAACAGATTAACTTCATACCACAAAGACATAAAAAAGGCCCCTCGAGATGGGTCGATGTTCGTAGTCATAATATACACTTTATATATTAATACATATAGAACGATGCACTTCGAGGCATCACCCAAAAGTATATGTTTTCAGTAAGCAGTGATGGCATTTTACGACTTATGCCCTACGGGGACCAATTATTAGAATTTAATCCCCTTGAAAACCCTTCGATGATATGAGGCTAAAAAAATAAATCTCGAGGGTACACAAACGTGTATATGCCTACCACAAGTTAATTCAGTTAGGAGACAGAGAGAGATGAAGAGAGAACGGCAGAGACGAAAAACAAGAGGGATTGAGAGACGAGAAGCAGGAGAGCAAAGAGAAAAGTCGTAAAAGTCGTCGAGGCTGTAAGTTTACGAATTTTACAGGTCGCTTGTTGCGGAGGGTCGTATTAATGTATATCGTCGCGGTTCTAAATCTTGCGAACTTTATTCTTTGCAGCAGCGTGAGAATATCATTCCTCATCTGTCCACAGTGTGCTTACGTTTTGTAGACAATAGTCAATATTATAATATTATATGCTATTAATATTAGTATTTATTTTTTAATTACGGTATTAGGTATTATTTCCATGGTCGAAAAACAAAAAAATGAAAACCGTGTTACCCTCTATCGTAGTTGGCCGACGACGACGCGACTGGTTGTAAAATTATAATTAAACGGACGACGCGCGCGATATCATCATCAATGAAGATTTGTCTGGCGGTATTTTTTTTTATTACATGGCAAATGAAGTCCACGATTTTATTAGGAGATCCAATAAAATAAACCCACAATTTATAATTTATTTTTTTGCCAATGGCCGTGGCGTCGCAGAGATGTGTGTGTAGGAGAGAAAAGTCAAATCGTAAAACATGTCCGAGAAATAAAAATATACACTATATTATCGTGTTTGTATATATATAATATATTGTGTTGTTTTTATTATTATTATCTACATAGACGCATTATAAACAGTGGAGCGAACACCAATGGAAACAATTTAGCGGAGTCCATAGATGCCAGGAGTAGCGGTGCGGTCTTTAAAAATAGTATACACGTATATTATTATACATAGGTTCGACGTCAATATATATAGCCTCGCAAATTTTATTATTACAGGCTTATAAAACGAGAGAACATTTTTTTTTTTTTATTAACTTCTTATATACAATCGCACGTTTTTATACCTACGATTTTGTTGTATAAAAAACTGTAATACAAAGGGTATTTTTATTAGACGGCAAAAAAAACTTTCATCAACTGCGGCACGGTAATGAAAGAAAAAAATACATACACATCATGCCTATAACGTATCATACTCTACCTACGCTCAACACGGACAAACATCAGACAATAATAGTAATAAAAAACTAACGATACACGTTAGACGTGTTTGCGTAGGTAATTAAAAACAAAAAAATAGAGAAAGAGAAAGAGAGGGGGGGACAAGAGAATTTATTATTGTAGTCAGATGCACTAAAGGCGCATATTATTATAAATAGACTATATTGTTACTCCAGATACGCGAGCGTTTAGGCCATTGAGATACGACGGCCCCGAAAAAGTCTTCGATCGACGATGACGATGACATATAGCGTATATAGGTAAATTTTAGACAGGCTTAAAAATATGGTGACTCGGATGTACCAAAACAAGAAAATATGTACATGGGTACATCGCACATGATGGTTTTTCGCGAGTACAAATAAGTCTTCTCCACAGATTCGTCGGCCGTTCAACAAGAGCGCGCGCCTGCCGCACCGACCACGGCGGCAGATCGATCGGCCGGCTCTTCAACCCCACCGGTGCCGGGCGGGTGCGTATGTATACGAATATAACGTGTCTCCCTCGGGAACACCCGCTCCCCCACCCCCTCCAACGGTGGCGGTGCTATCCACGGTCACCGGCTACGGGGAGAATACCAAAACCGACTGCACGCGTCCCACTCGACACCTCTACCACCGCCGGATTGTACATATTTCCTCCGCCCGCAGGAGAACTCACCCTACCCTACTGCCCACGGAAGATATTCGTACACACTTCCGGCGATGCCCGTCACGGCGTCACCACTACTTGCCAATT